CAATTCCTCGAGCGACAGAATATTTACAGTCCGCCATGACGCTTTAAGTTTGGACTCCATCTGCAGCGTGGCAGCAGCGGTACAGGCCTGCTGTCTGGCTTGATTGGAAGCAATAAAAAGGATTACGCTGATTGTGCCACATGGGGGATTTTAACTTAACAACAGCATTATAGTCTGTAGCACCAAAATAAATCTCTCTTCGCCTGTGTTTTTTTTTTCTCCCCCCAGCACAAAATGCCTCTGAAGTCAAGGATGGAGCCTCAGAGGAAGAAAAAACATACCTGTATTTCATTTTAAACACCTTCTCCAGCTCATTAGACCACTGGTTAACTCAGACTCTCCACAGCTCGGAACAATGAAGGCCTCGGCATCCACTTCCCCCTCCTGCTGCGTTCCAGCACTTACCCTCATTATTTCTCTGATCCTACACGGTAATTAGATGGCTATTTCTCCAAATCAGCACGCTCGCTCATTTTTAATGTGACCAAAATACATTGAGGTTGCCACCCTTGATCTCTCTCGCAGCACGCTGATTGTATGAGGGTTTAGCAGAACCACAGGAGGGAATGTATGGTGTGTGTGCGTGTTTCGCTTTAAAAAAAAACGGCTTATCAGTTTGTTTTTCAGCTTTAAACATGTTGACCAAGAAACTGAGGGTGTTACTGTATCAACACATGACTTTTACTGCACTGTGATTGCATTACTGCTGCACTTTGACTCTGTCAAGTAAAATTCCAAAGCTGAGAGATAAAGCTGCAGCACTGACTTCATTGTATGTGGTTATGTGGATCTACATCAACCAGGTGTCTTTTTTATTTTTTGTAAATATATACTATTTTGTAATATATTACATACATAAATCCAATTTATGGATGACGTGTGCCTCAATTTCCAAGAAACACACTTTATTTCCCTCCTTAAATGACATGAAAAGAAGCTGTGTATCTATAAAAAAATGACTGAAAATGACTAATTAACCAGGCAGACCTGGGACAAACGTCCAGCTTCTGCTGCTCCCAAGATACAGTAAACATGTCACATAACATCATGTTTGCGCCAATAAAAGAGGCGGTTAAAAAAAAATAATCAAAAACTCATCACACAGAGATGCATATACCAGTTATTTTGTTGAAATGGTGTAAGAAAAGAAAAAAAAAAAAAAGCAGCATTCAAATTAGGCGTGTTTCCAATAGCTGAGCAGATAATAGGCTTCCTGAAGGCACATCCATTAGAAAAATGGAAAGAATCCTTTAGGAGTTGATTAGCAACAGACCAGATGTTACTGTTCTTTTCTGTCGAGATAATGTTGGTTATATTTCACACATTCTGTCACCGGAACAAAGTAATGTTTCCACGCATCAAACTATGTGCTGCACAGCCGTGATAGGAATTTTAGATATGATTTGAACATTTATTACTCCATTGTCTATACCCGCTTCATCCTGCAGGAGGTTGCAGGGGACTGGAGCCTGTCTCAGCTGACATTAGGTGAGAGGTAGGTTGAACTCTGCACAGGGCATCGGTTCATTACAGGGCTGCCACAGAAAGACAGACAGACACGAACACACACAGTAACAATTATGACCAGTCTAGAATCACAAATTAGCTGATTGCCATTCAGGCACGAGAAGACAATGCAGACTCTACATGGAGAGGCACCAGCTGAACAGCAGGTGTCACATCAGGAGAAGGTGGACAAACACTGCTAAACACTGTGTTGTCGATATGTACTGAAAATATACATTTTGTATTGTGTTCTCTTGTCATGTTTTTATTATTTTCAGTGGTGTTCCTCCACCTAACGCATCCTAACTTCCAGCTAATTCACAAATGAGCAAGAGGTGGAGCATGAATGGAGCTGATTATTCCAATTTAAATAGGTAAGTTATATATTAATATACCATCTGCACAGTTGTCATGAATGGGGCAATTAGCTGTATAGACGAAAACTCTTTTTTGTACCAGACTGTAAACATGTTTATTTCTGTTCCATGTAAAAATTTGGGCGTTTTAACACGGAGGCCTAAGACGATTGACTCACCAGCCTCAAGTGGCCATCGGAGGAACTGCAGTTGTTGCCACTTTTCAGAGTTGTTTGCCGCGTACTGATCAGTACCTTTTTAAATTCTGTTATTGCTCTGTTACACCTTTTTTTTTTTTTTTCCAAAAACATTTTCTTCTAATAGGAATTATAATTGTGTTTTTGCAATTTGAAGGATATTCTGTTCTGTTTTCTGGAATTGATGGCTTTAATTACAGCTGCACATATCAGCATTTGTTATATTAACCTCAGATCAAACAATTGTGTGTTTTAGCTGTGTGCATAGCTAGCCATCAAATGAAGATTGAGAATTCATTATTGTCGCAAGAGTTTGAAATTACCTTTAATTTTCTTGTGTTAAAGCTACAACAATTCATATCTTTGCAGAAACAATAGATCAGATAATTATGTGTTTTGTGAAACGGTTCACTCAGAGCCATAAATCATCAAGCAATCATCATTCAGCTCGGCTGTTTCTGTGTGCTTGTCAGAGCTTTTACAAACCATTAGCTTATTGTTTGATGGCCCACTGTCTGCAAAACAACACTGATAATCTACCGTTTGCATGTACCAAACAGGCTCCGGAGAAGATCTGTCAGGCAGACAAACACAAGCCTCCAAATGAATGCTAATAACACTTGGTGTCTGCTGAATGTGTAAATAAATAACTGCAAACATGTTAGCCAGGTACCAACAAATCAGTTAATGCATCTTTAAATTGTATAGCTGATAATGTAACATGTCGAATTTTACACACTTGTTTCTATGATAAAAAGAAAAGTTCTAAATGAATGTGTGATCTTCCATTAGCCCGTGACAACAAGGAAGCAATAACAAGAAATCACATTATATGTTTAGGAAGTGGAAAGAAGGAAGACTGACATATACAGTAAGTTAAAACACTAGAAAACAGCCCCACTAGTCACTACCAGTCAAGCACACCACTTAATTCGTTTAAGCGTCATTGTTTCTTTTTTGGGCGGCTGCTCACATGCACCAGTATGCACACACAGGCCAGTGTTCCCTGGTAACAGGGCGAGGTGTGGGGTGGGGGGGAGAGAGAGGGTTCAGACCAGGGTGACATGTGTTTATGAACAACTGTGCAGCGTTGATGAAGAGCCAAGCGAGTGAGCAACCATTTGAGATTAATGAGCGAAGATGAGCTCAGCTAACAGTGGATACCAAAGAACCATGACCGCAAATGAATCCGTCACAGCAGAGAATCAACACTATCACTCAGCTGTGAAAGTGATCGGGCCCACCATGTTCACCAACACAGAAGCTACTGGAGCTGCAGCCGTAAACTTCTCCACTTTCTTACTCCTGTCTTTTTTTGAAGCTGCGCTGGCTGACTGGTCGTATGTAGGCGGCTTCAAATGGCAGCAAACTTTAAAATCCACAAACTCTGCAAGGTGACATCAGCACCTCAGAGCCTCAGTAACTTTACAGTGTACTGCTCTGTACTGTGGTGCATTTCAAATGTAAAAGACCTCACAACTAAAATTACTATTATTATTACTATTATTAGAAAGATTCTACAGTTTAAAAATTGTAATGTGTTTATAAGTATGATGCATTATTAGAGACCAAACCACCCAAGGTCAGGGCTGGAAGAACCTGTAAGAGGCTGAAGTAAAATGTGGACCCTTAATCAGCCACCCAACCCTTTTCTCATCCTCTGAGCCACCTGAGTTAGTTTGATAGTTAATTGAATTTAAAACTATGTAAGAATTTGATGAGCTTCCCAGATGTGAATTTAAGATAGAATAGTCTGACTCACCGGATGTAGACTGCAGTATAATTTCATTCAGCTTTCTCCTCCCTCCCTAACCTGTGATTGGTTTACAGCAATAAAAACAATTCAGACATTTTTTCCCCTTCAGGAGAAAGAGGTGTTGGCAGACCATTCCCCGCAGCACAGAGTGTCAAACAAAAATAATGTTGTTTGTTGTATTATGAGAAATGGAGGATTCTGCATTTTAGGATCATGACCCACACAACAGACTGTAATTGGGACATCTTTGACCCTGCAACATTCTTTTTGTAATATATTTCTTATGAGTTGACCAACTTTGTGGAGAGGCCATACTAAAATGCCTAAGTACCCCTTAAGGTAATTATTATTTTAGTTTAGCATGTGGTGCATATTACCAAACAAATGTACAATTGAAATCATAGAGCAAATGCCACAAAGATAATAGATCCGTGTGCTCAGCTGGTGATCCTTGCCAATTATGAACATATGCAGTAATTATGATTAGCTTGATCTTTATCAAGCCATAACACTGAAATGCTCCTTTCTCGTTATTGATCCAGGAATATGAGACAATAGAACTTTATTGCTGAACTGTTTCTTGTGAGTATTTTTATTCAATTTCAAATCAGTTTAATTATTTATCCTCTAGGGGCGATTCAAAAAACACAGCGATGGCTCTATTTGAACTGATAGGGTCTAAATACTTGCTCTGTCCCTGCAGTGACCTGCACACGGCGTGCTTATGCTTGTGACACTCGAAACCAGACACATTCTAGAGAGATGAGTGAAGTCAAAAAATATTCAACGATGAGTTCAGCTTTCACGAACTGACCACTGTTGTAAGATATATTTCCTTCTTAATTCTGAGTCATTGCTTCATGTGGGAGGGAGACGTGTCCAAGCCCAACAGCAGAATGTCATTTGGGCAAACAGAATGCACAGCATCCCAGTTGCCATTGATGGTATGCTCTGGGTAGCAGCATCGCTTTGTGACTGAAGCTGATGAGTGTGTTGTGACATAAAAATATCACTCAGCGCAGCTTTGTTTAGTTATTTTTTTTTCCTCCTTTATGTTCTTGCTGCTCTACGCTTTTTCTCGCTCCCCTATACCTCCATCTCAATCACCCCCCAGTGCTCCTCGCCTCCGATGCCTGTTAGCGTCACTTGTTACCGTGGGAGGAACAATGCTGACATCATTCTCATTATGCAATTCCATCAACCTCGGAGTGGAGAGAGTTGCTTTTTTTAGCAACCGCTCAGATACAACGGGTCATTCAAGCCTGCACATCTGCCCTCAGAGGATGTAAGTGTGCGTGTGTGTGTGTGTGTGTGTGTGTTAGTAAGCACGTATGCATGCTTATGTCTGCTACAATTACCCGGAAGATCGTGAGAGAGAGAGAGAGAGACAGAGAGAGAGAGAGAGAGAGAGTAATAAAGGGTCACAGAGAGTGAGAGAGAAATACTGCAGTAACCCAAGGGCAGCTTGCTGCTCAAGTGAAGGGATGATGTACCTCCTGCTACCACACGCACTAACAAACACTCACACATAGACGATAGCCCAAAACAAACAGCTCCTCTGACAAGCCAAGGTTAGCCGTGGCACATTGAAACATATGTTTCTCATAAGGGAGTTCTATTCTCCCTCTGCTCTAACTCTACAGGCTCTCAGACGTTGTGTCGCTTTGCAATATTGCAGCAGCACGCTCATACACTAAAGGCACGCAAAAGCTCATACAGATACTCAAATAGCGGGCTGATTTGACTGTTCGCATACACACGACTCTCCATGTGATGGAGAAACTGTTGGCAACTTGTCTCTGCCTGCCATGCAGCCCCTGGAGTGCTGATACAGAGAACAGTCTATCTCTCCTGCTCTCTCCGCTTCACACAGACAGAATAGAAAACAGAAGACGAGGACTGGAGCTGAATCCCAATATGCCTCCCGAGCCGACTCCTTCATGTGCAGAGGTAGGCCTCCAGTGATACAGACAAGTGCAAGTTTATTTAAATAGCGCCTTATCGTATGCAAAGTGCTTTACAGGCAAAAGATAAGAAAAAAACTTACAAGCCTAAATCTGAATTTATTGAATAAAAAATGATTCCCTTAGTGTACTACAAAAAGAATAGTTTTTAACTTAGTTTTAGAAACGGTGGCTTGAGGGTCATATAGTCTCTATGTTCCAAGAGGGCTGATTCCAGCATGGGCAGCAGAACAGCTAAAACCCGTTTCACCATGTGTGGATTGAAGTCTGGGCACCAGTAGCTGACCAGTCCCTGCAGATCTAAAACGGCCTATGAGGATTTTATTCAACATATCTCTGGTATATTTTGGGCCTGGACCATTGAGAGACTTATAGACAATAACTGGGGCCTAAACTCAATTCTATATTTAACTGGAAGCCAGTCCAAGAACTGGAGTAAAGTGTTCTCTATTCTTGGTGTTTGGCAGTATTCTAGCTGCAGCATTTTGAATGAGGTGCAAATGTCTAAGGCTGTCAAAATACAGTTATTTTTATGGGTGCCGGCCTCTTTTTTAAGTTGTTCCCGTCGAGAAGGGAGCGTATGTGGTCACCTTGAGAAAAAGTCTCTTTTCCCAACCCAGCGAGACGCAATGTCTTTATTCAGAGCACTCTGTCTTTTTGTGTGTGCTTCTAGTTGAAAATCTCTGAACTTTTTCAAAAAGTGTCACCACTGTTGCTCCTGACATTAGCATTTAGTTCAAAGCATTGCTGTGCAAGTACAACCTCCATAAGCCGTTTACACTGTTACAAACCCTTATTGTCTGACATTGTTCCTCTCAGAAAATAACTTTGCCTCCTCATGGGTACCATCTTTCTTGTAGTGTACCTCAAAGTTCTGTCATCATCCTCCAGTGTTTGCTTTGTTTTTGCATAAACCAGGGAGATGATCATTTGTTTAACAGGCATCACTTCTATGCCGATGATGTTCAGTTTGACATCATTAAGCATCAGAATGTCACAAAATGTTCTCTTTCACATCCCTCCCTGAACTCTATCAGAACTGGATAGCAGATAACCTCCTACAACTTGATGCCTTTAAAACAGAATATCCCTGCTCCAGTCAGTCTTGTCCCTGTGGTGCTAGAAAGTCTTGGTTCAGACATGTGAAATCCAGATGCTACTATCAATCAAATGCTGACTCCTGAACAGCATGTGAAGTATGAGATGTGTCCTGTTTTTTACTGCTCAGATGTGGGCCTATTATGTCTCAAGCAGAGATGGAGTTCATCATTCATACTTCGATTTCATCCCGTCCACACTGGTGGCTTTGGAGGCTTTTAGCATTTGACCCCTAAAAGATCAAAACTTGTCAATGATTGCATACGTTCAGCGCAATCAAAGACAAAAGCTGATTTCTCATTTGGTTTGTTTAAATTTCTTTTAGGGGCCTGAATTTGTAGAAATCCAAGCAATTCACCACCAATATTAGATAAAGCCTGAAAAAATAAACTTATTTTTGCTTTTCTGTTTTCTTAATTGTTTTGCGACACCTCAAATTCCCCCTCTGAGCCCAGGTTGGTATGCAGTGAGCTCGACTAATTGTGACTTTACCTGTGTTTATAAGCCCTGATAAGTAGTCCAGGATGCTTCTGCAAAGCTCTCACATGACATTGATCTTCACTCATGGTTTCCATTTAAAAATCCAACACTCTTGTGATTGCTTTAACAGCCCTGTGTGCTCACCTATCTCTGCTCTCCTCTAACGGCTGATTTATTCACCTTGGGAGAACAGACAAGGCAGTGGCTTAAGCAAGTGTTTGACCTGGTTATTGATAAACTTCTGCTCAGCTGCTCCAAATCAAGTCATCGGTCATCAGATAGATCCACTCTGTCATATTTAGGTGAGACAAAACAAACATGTCCTTGGGGTGAAATGACTTGTAGAGGAGCCTGCTCTGTTTCGCAGCCTCTGTTAATGAAAGCTATAATTATCACCCAGCAAAATCAATGCTCTCAATTCCTTTTAGGGAAAGGGGTGGGGTGGGTGTAGTGTTTAGGGTAAGGACTGGAATGAGCAGTGGGACTTTGCTCCGCACAGCCTGAAAATAAGATTTATGGAAAGGCTGTGTTCATAGCTGATTGGCTCTAATTGTCTCCCAGCTAAGCAAGAATCCCATTCCGCTAAATGAGCCAGCGATCAAATTCAAATTCACTTATTGGCTGGCAAGCACACAGAATCTCTTCACTGTTCAGCAGAGATAGTTTCGAGCATTTCTGTGTGTGTTTTTAAGGGGGATAAATAAAAACAGTCATTATAACAGCTGTGTGGATGAAGATTAGGGAAGAGCAATTAACAACTGCCTGGCCGGGGCTTCTAACACACACCGGGGACTGTAACCGTTGATGGAGTACACCAGCTCGTCTGGAATCTGGCCTGTGGTCATTTTAAATTTGTGACAAGCAGACCGCCACCAACAGCATTTCGTACGGCTTTACAGGTCAGTTATTAGTCACTGCTAAGAAAAATTGTGAACTATTCTTTGATTTATTGGATCTAAATCTGTTCATTAATAAGTCACAGGTGTTAATTAACAGCATTTTATGTAGAAGTGAGAAACCCACGAGCATTTATGGAATATTAAACACACCAGTCAAACACATTTTTCACAGCCTGACAACACAAAATATTGTTCTTATTTATGGCTTTAAGTCTCATAACTGATCTATTAAGTATTTTTTAAATGCTTTTTACCACTGAGGTTCATCTGAAACTAATAAATGTCATCAGCCGTTCAAATCAAGTGGAGATTTTCCAAAGTTTCTGTGTTTTTTGTATAAAATTTCTTATTTTTACTACTGTGCTGACTTTGCAGCTTAACATAGAGAACATTTTGTACAAAAAGTCTGTAACTTTGTAAATTATCTGCTTTGATTGTGTATATACTATATGTTTTATCCACCCTCACTTACACTAGAAGCACAGTAGAAGAGATCTCTTAATGTAGCCAGATCTGTGGTGATCTAAATTTTTGTGCCGGTAGACCGGTGTTTTTCTGTTTTGTTTTTGTGGTTGCTGTGGCTGTCTGTGTTTCAGGCTGGGCGGGGCGATCCTGATTAGAGAGCATCACTCACACTCCTCCGCACCTGACGCGGATTCACAATCAGCGATGGATAAAGCCTGCTTCCACCTGTGTTCCAGCTCCAGTGGATTGATCTCCTCAGCGTAGTAACAAACCAGCGGTGCTTTGTGAACTTGGTGCTTTGCTTGAACTTTCCCTTGTCTCATGTATGTTCTCTCGTCTTTGCCTGCCAGAACCTCTCCGAAAAACCGCTGCATTCTCCGCTCAGCTTAGCCTACAGAACCAGCCTCTGTCGTCTTGCCTCCCAGCTTCCCCGGGAAATTCCCAGGATTTCCCTCACCCCCTTGGCTACCCTCACAAGCTCCTCAGTGTCCCTTTGTGCACAAATAAATCCTTCTTGTTTTCACTCTCAAACTCGAGTTGCATCTTTGGATCCAGCCTTTTGACAAACTCATCAAAGTTATGCTCCTATACAACCAAACTGCATCCTCAATTATGGTCACAAATACAATCCCAACATCACACAATGCTTTTCAGATGTCAGTCATCTGCCTGGTAGTCCTGCAAATGGAGAAGAAGCTTCAAACATGTTGTATTTTAACTCAAACAATGATTGCTTTTCTGTAATCTAAACAAGTTGTGTTGCTGCCTAAACTTAACCAAAGAATGAGTGAAAACAAAACTTAAGCCTGAAGGTAATGGTCCCACTACACTTACAATACAAAAGTCGAGGAATCCTTCAAGACATGACCCATAAGTTTCCTGATCAGCAGTGTCTGATCACTCCTAGCTCCCAGCTAATCCAAAAAATGAAAATAAAGTGGAGTATAAGTGGAGGTGAGGTGGACCATTCAGCTGTCACTATGTGATGGACTGTCCTTTGATGCATCCACCTCTCATTCCGCCCTTTATTATGTTTAACTTTAAGCTTCAACAGAATTTAAAATGTGAGTTGTATCTATCAATTTACCTCCAGTACAGTTGTCATAAACGGGGAAACTAGCTACAGAGACCAAAACCATTTCTGTAGCAGGATGTAAACAGGAATATTTCTGCTGTTGGACATTTTAACATGAGGGTCTGTGGGGATTGGTCCATTTTTGGAGCCAGCCTCATGTGGTCATTTGAGAAACTGAAGTTTTGGGCATTTGGCATCATTTAACAGCTAAAGAGGTTGCTGCTTTGGGTTTCACACAGGACATGACCCCTACTCCTCTGGGTGAAACTAAACCAGCTTCTAACACAGTTTATGGCTCTTTAAAAGTGGAAAAGTTCCTTTCGACGTCACACTGTTTCCTAAAATATGTTTCTCTCGAGACGCAATTGCAAATACAGTACAGTTAGAAAGTATAGAAATTTGGTTATATGATGATTACAACAAATCTGTAAGAATAAAGCCAAATTATTACAGCTGCATTTTAGTAATCACTTACAAGTACTTGTGTAAGTCCCAGCTTATTTACATCTACAGTGTGGTGCTCCTGGTTTGGGTGTGTTATGAATATTCCACTGGTGAACTTTGACTAGTGCAACACCACCTGTGACACCCAAATGGCAAAGAAATCTCTTCCCTTTTATTTGGTTACAACACCCAGACAGAGCTGGCAGAATAAACAGTAGAAGTCAGCAGGATATGCAACAGAGTTTAAACAGCTCCTGAAATATGATCCTGATAATATATGAGATTTAATATCACACAACTAGCTAGTATGGAACTATGTTAGTACACTGGAAGAACCCTGCAAGATGCTTTTAAAATGACTTTAGGTCCCAGACAGGAACATGAAATGACAACAACACTGTGTCAAACAATCACCTCTCTTTGTTTCTGTAAAATCCACTTTCTTACATCCTGGATGAAAATAATGAGAAGTCAGCTAATAAGGCTAAATGGGCAGTAAATGACTGTTTTTTCATGCAGTCCTTCTATATAGTAAACACACCTCTTGACACCTTCAGAACACAGAAATACTAATCTAGATCACACTGTCACACTTCATTATTACTTTTTATGCAGGAGGAAATGGAATTAGTGAGATAACCCCACTTTAGCTTCGACTAAATGCAGTAAATGAGCAAATGTGAAGGTGTGAGAGTCTAAGTGCTCAGCTGACATAACAGTTTTATAAAGCTGCATCGAATCAGTTCATTATTTTGAATGTGAACCAACTCCATCAAGTTTGACTTTGCCAACAACTCTGTGCTGCCAGTATAGTTTAAGCCAGAAAGGGATCCGACTGGTACTGCACATATTCAGTTACACACGTGGATAACAGTGTTGGTAGCCTTTGGTTAATGAAAGAAAAACCCACAATGGTCACAGAAATAACTTGAATCTGACAAAAGTAATAATAAATAAAAATTCTATGAAAATTAACCAATGAAAATCAGACATTGCTTTTGAACTGTGGTTTAACAGAATTATTTAAAAAAATAAACTCATGAAACAGGCCAAGACAAAAATGATATTACCCTTAACTTAATATTTTGTTGCGCAACCTTTTGAGGCAATCACTGTAATCAAATAATTTCTGTAACTGTCAGTGAGACTTGTGCTCCTCTCGGCAGGTATTTTGGCCCACTCCTCATGAGCAGACTGCTCCAGTTGTCTCAGGTTTGAAGGGTGCCTTCTCCAGCCGGCATGTTTCAGCTCCTTCCACAGATGTTCATCATACCATCATTTGTGTCCAGGCCTGTTTCATGAGTTTATTTTTAAAAATAATTCTGTTAAACCACGGTTCAAAGCAATGTCTGATTTTCATTGGTTAATTTTCATAGAATTTTTATTTATTATTACTTTTATCAGAGTCAAGTTATTTCTGTGACCGCTGTGGGATTTTTCTTTCATTAACCGAGGGTTCCAACAATTTGTATCATTTGTATCATACATAACAACACATAAAGGCTTTAGAATGGTGATGGTGACACAAATGAAATTTCTAATAATTTCTGTCTACAGTTTCAGGCAGAGCAGAAAGATCACTTCTTATCAACAGATGTTCCAGCTGTGCAGCAGTCCGTGTCAATTCGGACAGAATTTAGGAAATGTATCAATGCATCAACTCCAATGTTGTTCAAAGTTGACTTATTTGTTGGTTAGGACCTAAAACTATCTATCAATCAATATACAGCGCCCTCCATAATTATTGGTTAAGATGTGTTCTTTAGCTTCTAGTAAATTCAGTTTTTTTCTAAATAATATAGGACCACAATGAAAAAAAGAGGAAAATTTAACCTTTAATTCAAGTGCATTTATTCAGTGTGAAAAAAAAAATCCCTCATTAAAAAACAATTCTTTTACATCAAACCATGTGTGCCACAATTATTAGCACCCTTGATGTTAATACTTTGTACGACCCCCTTTTGCCAACAATTCATTTGAGTTGAGTTGAAGGTTACATAATTCTGCAATTTCCAGTGTGACAGTATGCTTCTGCCATAAAAATGTAATTTATTTTAAGGCTTTTAACACATCTTAACCAGGGGTGCCAATAATTATGGAGGGCACTGTATGTTCTGTACTCCCTTTATCCTGTAGGGGGTTGTGGGAGGCAGGATGCACCCTGTTAAGGTAATCAGTCCATCTTAGGGCCAACACAGAGAGACCATGCACACCTACGACCAGTTTAGAATCACAGACTAACCAGTATGCATGTCTGTGGATGGTGGGAGGAAGCTGGAGTATTCAGTGCAAATCCACGCAGGCACAGGGAGAATATGCAAACACCAAACAGAAGGTCCCAGCCGACCCACAGATTCAAACCCACGACCCTCCAGCTGTTCCAGGTCACAGTGACACCAAAGCACCAATATGTCACCCAACTTAGAATCAAGTTCAGGAAAATATTTTGGCTAAATTGGGAGAATTTCTTATGTTTTCAGACCTGGGATTTTTTACATTTACACCTTCAAAAAAATCCCCTCAGCTGGAAAGCTATCTTAAAGGTTCAGTATCTTTAGAGAGAGAGAAAAAAACCTCCCACCGTCATATATTTCGGCAAGGACACGGACAAAATTGTTTCCAGTAGATCCAAATGATGAAATGACTCCAGGAGAGGCCCATTTTTTATTTACTGGCCACAGAAAATGGGGAAAAGTGCAACATTTAGGTGATATTAAAGCTCCAGAAAGTTCCTGCTAGTATATATATGGATGCACCCATGTTTCCTACTAAAAACACTGACTTTGTTTGACCTTCTAACCCTCTGACATTAGTAGAATGTAATGTGTAGCACCTATAGTAAATAAAGCTTCCAGGTAGTTGCTATTTTGACCAAAATGGAGATGTGGACTCACTCAAAGGCCCAAAAAACTGATGTGCATAAGGGTCTATAATTAATGTTCCCCTGAAATTTAAAAACAGATGTTTCCATACATATACCTAACACAGAAACATGATAATTCAACATGCATTACAATAAATCTCACATTTATTGAAACACATCATGTCGAGGGCTGCACAGTAACAAAAAGAGTCAAACTGGAGATCAATGCTGCATTAAAGCAACAAAATGAAACAATGGCGTCATCAAATCTCAATGGATTTATATTTTTATTTAATTGCAGAAAATAAATCTTCAAAAATATTTCAGTAGCTCTGCTCATCCTAGTATTGAGTTTGTTTTGTCATCCCAGTTGGAGCTGGGATGGTGACGGAACAAAAACTACTGGCACCAACACAATCATCAGACGGAGACAACTTGACGATGTAGCCTGATGGCAAGCAGCGGCTGGATTCACTGCTGATAAAGATGAAGAGGAGCAGAATGTGACGGTGAAGGTTATGCCAGCTGTTATCTTATTATTGATTGTTTCAAATCCTTGCTGTACACTCATCTCCTAACTTTTTATTTTCTAGAGTATGGAGCACATCAAGAAACTTGCTTGACAGGCCTGCAGTACCACGTTCCTGTTGCTCAACTATGACTGGACAATTGCTGTTTAGGGAAATCACTGAATGGTTCGTTGCCATCTTTCATTAATTGCTGAAATAAATAAAGATGAGAGGTCTGGAACCAGGATACAAACTGCTGACAAGCAGAAATTTGCCTTTAACACGCAGTGTGTGGCTGTGTGTCACTGTCTTTGTTTTCTGTTTCAATGATAATTAAAGGCGTTTTTTTATTGGAAAAAAAAAAAAACTTGACTCATGCCTTTTCTTCATTTTCTTTTCCATCTCCGATGACTATTGTGTCTGGAGGCCTTGACCCCAGCACGTGACTCAGAAATTCAGATAAGGTTCAGCTTGAAGCACAGCTGATATTTGCTCACGTGCAGCACAAACATTTGAAAATAATTACTTCTGTGACACAGGAGTGGACTGTATATGAAATCCCCATTACAGGACAGTGTCAGGCGTGTGTGCGTTGGCTAGTTTGTGTGGCTGTTCGTCATGTACGCC